GCCCTTGCCTCCATAGATACTGTTGCTACCAGGTTTCCATGACCTTCTCTTTGAGAGCTCACCTACTCCAAGGCAGCAGTTGATGCTCTTTTTATAGCTACACTTAAATACCACCCATAAGTTCCTATTTTCAACTACATACTCCGGATATAACTCAGATCAAGCATTTTCGAGAATTCACTTCTGGCTTTTCATTTATAAAAAGTTTAGACATGTTTCAGACTGAGGCCCCCTTCTTCCTCTGCTTCAGTCTTCTGGGCATGATCCTTTGAAATTGCTGCTATAAAAAGAGCAACTTTCTTAGATGTAGCTCTGAACATTTGCTGGCTTTATTATTTGTGCATGCTTCTTTGTCTAAACCAGTAGCATAAGAGGAAAACAAATTTAAGAGCTGTGATTTGAGATTACAAGAACTAAACCAGAGTTAAGAACACTCCCATGACTGACACTGAATGAATCCCTCAAGATCGCATACCATTTTCCAATTTATTTTCTCCAAGCCACACTCTGCTTTAAAAGCATCACTTGAAGAAGTTTGAATACAACAGGGAAACCGAGTTTACACTTCTGGTGCAGAAATGAAAGGGCAAGGAAGAGGCTGGGCAATAGATACTATGCTTAATGGGCCCACATGAAAAAAACGCAACAGCTATAGGCACAGGACAGATGCTTTATTTATTATGGTGCAAAGAAGTAAAATGAATGTTAAGGCCCCTCCCCCAAGATTCTGTCACTGCTGACATCATTAGAAACTCGCAAACACACTTAGGGCCCAGGACTTTCCCACCCTGCTAGGAAACCTTGTGCATGATGGATGGACACAAATTACATCTTAATCCTTCTATTCACTCTGAGGGCTGGGTACCATGACCACATGCTATGCAGGGAAGCTGAGCAGTCATATGACCTGTTCCAGGTGTAGCATCTTGCTCTCCAGGTTCTACATTGCTTATCTCAAACTCTGCCAGGAAGCATTCTCATGCATTCTGATGTCAGAATATTTCAAAGACAGAGTTCTATTTTTCCTACTTGTTTCCCACTTCATTTGGTTAGAACACAGTAAGAAAGGCATAAGGGAATCTAAGCAAACAATCTAGCAACAGAAGCTCAAACAAAAGGCTCAAAATTAAACTTCATGTACACATCCCTTAACACTGTTGATGCTGGTATGCAAGCCAGGCTTCTCAATGGACAAGGGGTCTTGAGCTGTCCTTTTCATACTATATTTCCTCAAGAGTTGCCCACAACATCCTGAAGAGTGATAGGTTCACATTGCTGCCCATCATTTAATTCTTCAAAATAATTCCCATTGTGTTTTTGTTTTAAAGATTGAATTTACTTCTTCATAACTCACAAATATCTAAACATACATTAACCTTCATAAAAAGGAAAATGAGAACAGCAGGGTCTACTAAACCCCTATTGTGTTTATATTCTAAGTTAACCAAGTTTATTCTAAGTCAATGACGTTGTTGTTAATACTGCTAGTTATATCTGAGCTATGTTACATGATATTCAGTACTGTGAAAGAATCATAAAAACCAGTAAAATTTCATTAAGACAATTTTAATGCAATTCCTAAACTAATTGAAACGACAGAGATGATCACCTTTTTTCTTTTAGTGAACCTGCTCATTATTTTTCAAGCTTGGAGTTAGGAGAAATAATGGATTCCTTGTACTTTTATATAGTCCCATCCAATGTTAATATTTATAAAAGAATAATATAGCATATCTCAAGTAACAAGATCAATAAAATAAGATCTCATTCATATTTCCCCAATTATACGCACATTCATTCTTTGATTATTGTAGAATCAAATACAAAGGAGGAAGGGTAAACACACAGAGGGTGTGGAGGTAAAGAGAAGGGAAGACCTCATGAGGCTTGTGGTCACCCTTTTGGTAGGAACCAGAGGAAGGGAAGGTGACTGTCACTGTCATGTTTTCAGGTTTTTCCCCTGATGAGTGCATCATATTAAAGAACCAGATGGAGATTTGGAAGTAAGCTAGGCTGGCTTTGCTTTTGCTTCTTCTAGAAGGATTCCTATAGTTCTTTTTGTCAACTCTATAGAAATTGATCCTTTGTAGAGTTTGAACTTACAAAATTTTATCTCTGACTTTTCAGACTATTTTTGAGTTGTTTTGTTTACCCTTACATTCATAACTGGATAAAAAGCTAATGGTTATAAACCTGCATTGTACAATTTTGTATTCTCTAATTATGTTTCTTTCTTGCCCAATAAAACGCATTAATCCTTGTCTGAGATTCATTTCTCTTTGTTGACCTCTGAGTCTGTTTAAGGTCCGCAACTTTCTGCCCAAATTTTCCATTATTTTTAATTGTATTATCTCCTTAAGAATACCAAAGAAGAAATTACATTTAGAACAAAGTGTGTGTCTGTAAAGCATCCAGCCAACAACGGACCAGATACAGGAAGCCTATGCAGCTTGGGAAGCTTCTTCTAAAGGAATATTTGCCTAAACTCTGTCCTTGGAGGGAGCAAGAGAAAACAAACAATTTAATGAATAAAGTTAGTAAGAATCTACTCAAATCTATAATCATTTAAATTCAGTGTTATCTTTCCTTCAAGAAATAAAGCATTTGAACCACCCTAAATCAAACATCTAGGCAGAAAATGAAGCCAATATTTTGAATGAAAAGTAAGGCTTCTACATGTGCATTAAAATCTCATCTCAAGCACTACCTGCTTTGGAGAAGCTAAATAATCTACTACTGCAGGCTGTCTTCCTGAATTTAACTTTCTGCACTTCAGATGATGAATAACTTTTATTCAAAATAATTTATAGAAAATCTGTATTTGCCAGAACAGTCAAATTCCTTGTCAGGCTATTTAAGAAGCAGCTGGAACTGACATAAAATATTATATGTAATATATGTATGTAAGAGAAATAGTAGTTTTCTTAATCGTGTGTTTAGATAGAAAACAAAAGACTATACGTTTTCATTTTAATGTAAGAGAACTGTTCAAATGAAGAAGGCCCCACTTGTTCCTCAGCAGTTTGTGATCTCTGAGGAGAGGTACATTTGTTTACAGAATCTTTTCCAAGTCCAGCATCACCTGATGAACACATGCTGGACCGTTAAAAAAATGTTGTCAACTATGCAACCACATGAAATCAGATATAGGTACAAATGTTACTCTGATTCAAAGAAATTTAATCAAGAATAAATCTAAATGTAACTTCTGACACAAAGAAATTTATAAACAACTAAGGCCAATGTGAAACAACAAAACACCCAGTTCGAAAAAGTAGACAAAAGCTTTTTTGATCATTAATACAGTAAGTTATACTTTTATAAAAAGAGTATTCAAAGTTCTATGTTCACTCTTATCACATTTTTTTTAAATCTCAGGATGTCATGAATGCCTATATTTTCACAAATTGAAAACAGAATTACTCAGACACTGGTGAGATAATAACAGGCATTTTTGTGTTTATTTGTATAGCATACATGCAACTGGAGTTTTCTCTCCAACTTAAAAAAAAGTTCAAAACAAAAGGAAGAACACGGGAGCATATCAATGAATTTTAAAAAGGTGAAAGAGAGAGACAGGGGAAAGAAAGGAAAAAGACTAGAAAAGGGTGAATACCCAATAATGAAATAAAGCCACACTGCTTTCAAGAAAACTTTTCCTAAACTAAAACTGATAATAAAACTCATTCTTATCATAATAAAACAAAGACTCTGTCATGCTGGGTGAACAGCAAAGGGCTACTCTAAAAGGAAATCATTATTTCACCTGACAGTCTCCACACTGAAGGCAACTACTATTTCCAGCCACTGACCAATTATTTGGTTACCCAAATAACAAGTGCTCACCCCCACAATGATCTGAAACACACACATACAAGTAACCCTACAGGAACTGAGCAAGTTGCATTCAGATAACAATAACAATTAAAAAAAATAAGAGGCCCTAATTTCCAGAGACTTCAAGGGGTGGAAGTACTTGGAAGAGACTGGAGAGAAGGGGAAAATGTAATTATATTTTAATTTTTTAAAATATTGTTATATACTAAATCAAAACTTTTCTTCTTGTATTTTTCCCCATGTAACTTAAAATCAGCTGCATTACGCCCACTGTTTTCTAGAGTAGGACATTTCTAATGTGGTGGAGCTCTACCCTTTCTTCATACATTACACACGACTGATGGTGTGGCTTGGCTGTGCAGCCCTAGCTTAGCATGCTCCATAGACTAGACTAAAGTTACATAAATACAACGAAAGGCACCTCTCTGCACAAGCACAATTCCATCTCACAGCATGTTCAAATACGCTACCACTCTTAGGCAATCTTCCAAAGTGACTGATTCCAAAAGAAAGCTATGTATACCACGTTTTAAAGGAAACACTAGCACTGAAGAGAGATCTGTAAAAATCACATTCTCAATAGTTATTTCTTATACCCCACTTCCAAAATACTCATATTCCACAGCCATTATTATTCATACTTAATCAAATATATCTGACTGATGATGCTGTAAAAATCTACGAATGTCAGAGTTGATTTTGTCTCCTGAAAAACAGTCTGATGAAAACTTGATGAATGTTACCAATAATAAAGACAACTGCAAATAATTCTCTCACTCCACTCTCGCCTGGGATTTAATCTGTTTCCCAAGGCAGATGAGTGTCTCTGTTACTGAGAATAAGCACTACTGCTTCCAGAAGTCTACAATGTTGCTTCTAAAGTAACTATCCCCTGTGGCACGAAAACCACGCACTAACTAGTAGTGTCACCACCTAGCCCATATCTCTTTATTTTCTCTGAATTAGTTAATGTGTTACAGGCTGTCAGAAATTACTAACTTAGAAACCTTTGTTATCTGAAGCACTCAAACCAAGGCTCAGTAGAAATATCACCAATAAAAAGCAAACCCCAAAGCTTGCAAACTTAAGCAATCATTGGCTTCAATTAGCAGTAAGTATGAACATACATAAGTCTGTCTGAAGACCAATAGGCCTATGCTTACTTTCAGAAGATCCTTGGAGAAATCCCCACCTTCATTTACTCCTTGGAGATTCGTAATGAACTCCTGGCAGGTCATTTTCTTTCCAATATTCTAGAAAACAGAAAAATATCATAATATATTACAGAATTAAGATTAATTCTTTAAAATGCAGGTAAACAGTTAGTAACTGATTTGGTATTTAGCATGCATGCATGCCCGTGCATGCATGTGCATGTGTGACGCACAATATTATTTTAGCATAAGAAAGTAAAATAGATGGTTTATTACTCTTTTTAAATTGTCATACTGTATAAATGGCAAAGCTACATCAACCCTTTATTTTAACCTAGACAAAAATCTACAAAATGCTGCTGCCTTTATACACATGATGTATAATATAGCTGAACCTTAAATCATGGATCAAAATGCCACTTCTGAGCAGAATTATACTTGTTTTTATTTCCGTACATGCTGACAAGTACAACTGAAGGAGTTCAGATTAATTCACTTTGAAGCTAACAGGTTATCTTATTTGCTAGCAGAGAAAATAACTCTGGAATAAGAGAAAAAGAGAAACTCAAATTCAGGATTACAATAACAGAAAGAGCCAGAATGTTAACACTATTCGAATCAGTTTCCTGAACTACAGTAGGACCAAATGACACCTATATACATGGTGGCTGCTTTTATAATGAGCCTCTAAGCCTCAGGAAAGGGGACTTTTGATAATGCACAAAGAATATCTGCCCCTTCCTTCTAAAGAGAGGCATCCCTCCATCTTCCAATGCAATAAGCAAACCTCAGTACAGCTCCTAAGTTGCTTTACTTAAGTAACTTTACTTCAAAGCTGCTCACTTGAGAAATCTTAGAAAGATGCAGAAGGACTAAAAGTGCTCAGTCCCATGCAGGGGAGGGACACAGACCACAGAACACTGGGCACAGGGATGCTGCATCTCTGGCAATGTACAGTGCAAATGATCAAAAGGGTCAGTAACACCTGTCTATGCACAACAGATTTAGGAGCAATGGTACGATTTCCAAAGCTATTTTATTGGTTCACAAATGGCAGGTGTGATTTGAACAACAGACATTTAATTACTCCAGCCACATGCTCCCAAAGATAGAGAGAACAAGTCCTTCACTGGTAGTTTTACACCAGTGCATATATAGAAGCCCAGCTTCCAGAACACACCGCTTTTCTTCAGAGTAGCTGATTGCTCCTTCCCTGTGTTCTACTCTCTAAGACTCATCCCACCCAGGCTATCTAAATATTTACAGTAAAAGTGCTAAAACTGTTGTATCAGAACGCTTGCCTCTCCCATCAGTAAGTAGGCACAGATTTCTTATGAAAGACTGTATGTAGAGATTGACACTAAGAAGCCTTGCCAATCAAACTTATTCAGGTTATAATGTCTGAATTTCTGAAGATTTGAGGATTTTCTTTTATTTAAAGCACAGAAAAGAAATTTAATATTAAAATATGCTTTGCACTGGTATAATGAAAATGACAAAAACCCAATTTTCATAATCCTTTCTTAGTCAACCAAGATACCTTAAGGTATGATAAATCATTTCAACATGATTTAGCAAGGACCAAGAATATAAGAAAAATGAATAATAACAAAGCAACTATGTCATTTAAAATGGTTTTAACAAAAATGTTCAAAGACTCAATTCAATCACTAGCCACACAAAAATGTGACAAAAATTCTCATAAAAAAGAAATTAATATTTTTTAAACATTATTTGATTTCTAATTAACTGTTAATAATTATTACTAAGTACAAAGCATCGTAAAATATGTTTAACATGTGAAAACTTATATTTCATTTCATGTTGTAGTTTTATTGCAAATAAGTATAATGATCCAGAAACAAGAATTCTTCTAAGCATAAAAACAGAACACATGAGTAAACTTTACAGAAAAGCAGACTGAAGCTGTAAGTTCAAAGAGAAATAAATGAAATAAAACGTGATTCATTTGGTGGATTTGGGCAAAGGATTGTGGGAACCTTCTGGAAATGATTCACCACTATCGCGGCTGATAATGAGATTTTTAATAAAATCTCAAAGTTGACATGAGTTTGGAGGAAGCTGGTTCCAGCTTTCATGGAAGACTCTGAGGAATTTAAGATTTCAAAGAAGTGGGCTGGTGAGATGGCTCAGTGGTTAAGAGCACTGACTGCTCTTCCAGAGGTCATGAGTTCAAATCCCAGCAACCACATGGTGGCTCACAACCATCTGCAATGAGATCTGATGCCCTCTTGTGGGGTGTCTGAAGACAGCTACAGTGTACTTATAATAAATAAATAAATAAAGTTTAAAAGATTTCAAAGAAGTGCTAGGAATAGCAAAAGAAGTAGAATTAGAAATAGAGTTCAAAAGACAGGACTAACTTGTTACAATCAGGACAAAACCATGTGTGGTGGTTTTAATATGCTTGGCCCATGAAAAGTGGCATGATTAGGGGGTATGGCCTTGTTGGAAGAAGTGTGTCACTGTGTAGGCAGGCTTTGAAATTCTATTCTCAAGCTCTACCTAGTATGGAAGTTAGTTTCCTCCTGGCTGCCTGAGGAAGACAATTTCCTCCTGGCTGCCGTCATATCAAGATGTAGAACTCTGCTTTTCCAGTACCATGTCTGCCTGGACATTGCCATTCTTCCCCACTGTAATAATACTAGACTGAACCTTTAAAACTGTAAGCCAGCCCCAATGAAATATTTTCCTTTATAAGTACTTCCTTGGTCATGGTGTCTCTTCACAATGGAAACATTAATTAAAACACCATGTAAAAGACAAAGATCTAGACTACAGTATCACAGTCAGTCAATGACAGGGCATTCCAGCTTTGTCCTGCCGTTGTGATGAACCACTCTGACAAAAAGCAACTTATGGAAAGAAAGGGTTTATTCAGTTTATTCTTCCAGTTAATGGTCCATTATTGAGAGAAGTCAGTAGAAAAACTCATGGAAGAAACCTGATGCAGAAACTGTGGAGGAACACTGCTTCTAGGCTTACAACTTCACTAGCTTTCCTATGGTACTGCCCCACAGTGGGATAGCCTTCCTGAACCAACAATCCCATGCAGACATGAGCACAAGCCAATTTGTTCTAGGCAAATTCCTCAATTGATGTTTTCCGCTCAGATGACTCTAGGTTGGGTCAAGTCGTTAGAGCTGATACACAGGAGTTGGAAAATTTCACTGTGATTCTGAAGGACATTCTACTACAAAGAAAGACTATCCAACACCATTGCACACTGTAGATAAATCTCTTGTGAGTCAACCCATAGGTCAAACTTCACTGCTATCTAACTGCAAGGAACTGCCAGAGCTACCCCAAATTTCAGCAAGCACTGGCCTGATTAGTAGGTAGTCTGGTGGTGTCCAGCATCCTGAGGCTGCTGTTTGACAGTTTCAGTGCTTGGACCACCTAAACTGACCCTTCTGTGCCCTTGGTGGAAATCCGCTACACACCTTGTGCTCATGCTTATATTTCTCACAGTTAAAGGCCTCTCTCCCAACGCTAGAGCTGGGATAACAAAAAGCTGGTGCAAACAAGAATGAAAATGGAAAAAAGCAATTATGTACAAAATGGAAAATTTCTTAAGAAATTATTCCTTAAGTAAATATTTAGATCATCAATGAGTACCATTATTAAATATGAGATAGAGGATTTGAGAAAATCATTAAAGATAAAAAAAAAACTTAGGGAAATTCTAGAAGCTGACTAACTGTAATTGAATCACCAGGTTTTTATGTTCAGCCTCAGAAATAAGTGACTAGGATGAATAGGAAGAGACTTTGATACAATTAATGACACGCCTTGGTACCTTCCTGAAGGCAAAGGGAAGCAGTGTGAGGAATCCTGATGTTCTTCTATTCTTTACATAATTGTAATAAAGATAGTAATCAAATTGAAACAAGGGCTCATGACAGAGAGAAAACATTTTGGCTAGGTGAACTGCCTGCTTCCTGAACAGACTTGTCAGACAAAAACTTTTCTGATATTATAAAAAAACAAAAACAAAGAATGGGCAGCCTTTTCTCAAGCGGGAGTGTACAATACTGTAAGAATCAAAGAAAAAAATGTGGTCTTATAGCAAATACAAAGGAAATATAGAGGAAGGAAAGGAAAAATTAAGTAAGGGTCAGAAAGATGGAACTTCTGTAAAAAGTTTGATATAACAGGTAGGAGGGAATGACTTTTAATCTATTAATTCTGTGCCAAACTGAAACAATCCAATCCAAATAGGGTCATTTGGTCTAGCATTTCTCTAACTGAAAGGCTTTACGACACCAATCTTTTTTTTTTTTAATTGGATATTTTATTTACATTTCAGGTCTTATTCCCTTTCTCCATGTTCCTCCCACCCAGAAACCCCCATCCCATCCCCCCTCCTCCTGCTTCTATGAGGATGTGCTCCCCCACCCAAGCCCACCTCACCACCCTTGAATTCCCCCACACTGGGGCATCCAGCCTTCACAGGACCAAGGATCTCTTCTCCCACCTATGCCCAACAAACCCATCTTCCCTGCATATACAGCTGGACCCATGGGTCCCTCCCTATGTGCTCCCAGGCTGGTGGTTTAGACACTGGGTGCTCTGGTTGGTTGGTATTATTGCTCTCCCCATGAGGCTGCCAGCCCCTTCAACTCCTTCAATCTTCTTTCTAACTCCTCCATTTGGGACTCTGTGATCAGTATAATGGTTAGCTGTGAGCATCTGCCTCTGTTTATGCCAGGCACTGGGAGAGCCTCTCAGGAGACAGGTATGTCAGGATTCTGTCAGCATGTACTTCCTGGCATCCACAACAGTGCTGGCATTTGGTGACTGCACATGAGATGGATCCCCAGGTGGGGCTGTTTCCAGACAGTCCCTCCTCCAGGCTCTGCTCCACACTTTGTCTCTGTACTTGCTCCCATGAGTATTTTGTTACTCCTTCTAAGAAGGACCGAAGCACCCACACTTTGGTCTTCCTTCTTCATGAGTTTGATGTGGTCTGTGAGTTGTATCTTGGGTATTGCAAGCTTTTGGGCTAATATTCAACTATCAGTGAGTGCATACTTGGGCACAGGGGGAAAGTTCCTGAACAGAACACCAATGTCTTA